ACCAACCAACTGGCAAGCAGCTTGGCAGAGAAGGACCTGGGGTCCTGAAGAACAAGTTGAACACAAACCAACAACATGCCATTGTAGCAAAGGCACCAACAGCCTCCTGGGTTGCATTAGGAATAGTGTTGCCAGAAGGTCAAGAGATGCAGTCCTTCAATTCTTCCCTTCTACTTGGCACTGGTGAGACCACAGCTGAAGTGCTGTGTCCAGTTCTGGGCTCCCCAGTACCAGGAAGACATCAACATACTGGTGCAAGTTTGCTGAAGGGCCTCAATGATGATTAAGGAATTGGAGCATCCAACCTGCAAGGAGAGGCTGAGAGCGCTGGGACTGTTCAGCTTTGAGAAGAAGAGGCTCAGGCAGGGAGAGCTTATCGATGTGAAAACACCCCTGATGGTAGGGAGTAAAGAAGACAGAGCCAGACTCTTCTCAGTGGTATCCAGCAACACGACAAGAGGCAATGGGCACGAAATACAGAAGATTCCATTTAAAGGTAAAAACATGCCCACATTTTTACTGTAAGGGCGACTGAACCCCAGAACATGTTCCTCAGAGGGGCTGTGGCATCTCCATCTTTGGAGATACCCAAACTCCAAATGGACACAGACCTGAGCTGCCCCCTCTAGTTGACCCTGCTCTGAGCAAGAGGGTTGGAGTAGATGATCTCCAGAGGTGCCTTCCAACCTCAACCATTTGGTGAGTCTCAGGAGTTCAGAGCTGCCCAGTTGAATTCAGTCACTTTCTGCTCCTTAGACCACATCCATCTTGTAGATATTTCAGAGTTTCTTGCTGCAGCACCCTTTCTCTGCTCAGTATTTTTAGCTCATTGTTTTGTATTTTGCCAGCTGAGAAACTGCAGTTTGTAATTTTACCTTCAGCTTCATATTTCTTCTTAAAAGTGAATACAATGTCCTGTTTATAATAATAAAATCACTAGTTGGCAGGATGACATCAAATGGAAAAAGAGAAAGCAACTGGAAAATTTAGAGCAAGCAATTTTGAGTGCCAAGTTTCACATTTGTAATAGTCCAGCGGAGGTCAACAGGCTCACTTATTATTAAGCAAATGGTAAAGAAATAGATATCCTCAAGTTCTTCCATGTTAGACTATATAAACCATCTCTACTTGAACAGGCTGTAGTGCTTTCCAAAAGAGTGATGTTATACATTTTCCACAGTAACACCAACAATGGGAGACAAGCAAAAGGCAGAACTGCTTTGCAAAGAACAACCTTTTTTCTCTCTCCAATATTTAGGTTTTTGTTTCCCACTATGATTGGACTTTCCTGGCTTTAGTTTCTTGTCCCAGTTAAGCAGTAAAGGAAACAAAAAGATATGAATGAAATTAGAAACATTTGGAATGAGTCTTAGAAATAGCTTTTGGGTTTCTTAGATTCCTGACTACACCTCTTCAAATGGTCTCCTGCTCCAGCCCCCGTCTCCTGCACCTACCTCTGAAATTTGCATTTCCTCCTTAGCCCTGGCCCCCCTTCTGTTCAGGGGCTATATTTTGTCCCACACCATTGAAACACTAAGTGAAAAGCAAAGCAAACAAGGAAATGAAAATTGCATGTTGAAACATTGGAAAAGACCGGAAAATGGTTGAAACTTTGCACCCACCAAAATTTGTCTCTATGACACTAATCCTCCAATGTTTCTCTAACAGCAGAAACCAAACACTTCTCAAACTTTTAATGAAAAAATCCCAATTCCAGTCAACCTGAATAATAAAATGAGAACTCTGGTGCTATCTGTATTATCACATTTGAAGTCTCTGGAAGGGAAGTTTCCTCAACCACGCTATTCTGATACTTTATGAAACTTCGTGCTCTCTATAAAATACAACTGCAGTATGCAATGCCAACACCTAATGCTTGCCTAGTGCTTCTCATTAGAAGTTTTTGGTGCTCTTTACAAACAAGTAAGCTGAGAGTGTCTGTGAAATACTTGCCTAATTTTACAAATAGATAAACCCATGCAGGTAAAAAGCAGATGTCTACGGCAAAACTGTGCACTAGTGGCAGAGTTAAATCAGCTAAAAGATTTCAAAGCCATCTACGAGGTTTGGATCTTTTCTGCCTTAAGTAATATTAAAATATTATGTAAAACTTTCTTTGTGAGCCATTACTGGAGAAATGAGGAAAAAAAGAGAATCTGTTGGAAGCAATTCTGCACAGGCTATGTAGGTGAGATCACAGTTGTTATCCAAACAGACTATGCATGGCAAGAACAGGCTTCCTGTAAAACTGAAAGACTTGCAGGAAGATCAAGGAACATATTTACAAGATGGCATGGACAAAATATCCTTCCCTTCTCTTGCCCAGCCTCAGCAGCTTGGTGAAACACATGTCTCACCTAAAACCACACTCACAAGTGCCTCCAGTGCAGAACCTCTACCTCCGTGCTCTATGCAGTACTCACAAATAGACCTGACCACACTTGGGACACTGGTTAGCGGAACACAGAACTTACCTTTTGAGGAGGAAAGGGTCATTTCCCATGATGAAAAGAAACAAGGAAAAGTTATCTCAGGAGGAGGAAACACCCAAAAACCCAAGAGTTTGCTCAGGTCTCGATTCCAAATCCCAAAAGCTTAATGCATGACACTAGAAAGTTTACAGCACTGTGTTACAGAACTGGAGAGGATTTACTAGAGAGGAAAGTATTTTAAGCTAAACCTTAATATGTGTTTAGTCTCATCAGATGAGCAATGTGTAAACTGAATTAGGATGAGCTATTTAGCAGTGTTAACATGGCTGTTTCAGGAGAAAAGATGAGTCTTTAGTTCATTGTAACTTATCTTATATTGTACTCTGAGTACTGTACAGTAATCTGGGGAGCCTGACAGATCAACATGTGCTAAGTACAGCAAAGACAGGAACTCACAGAGGCAGGTGCCATTGAACACGGTGTGAGCTTCCCTGGAAAATAAGGCACAGCTCCTGTGTGCACCCAGACCAGATCCCCAGGTTCAGATGTCTTCCCCTGGATGCCAGCCTGGGCCAGTGTGTACTGGCTATTTGTAGGACACTGCAGACCACACCACACTTGCTGCTGACAATATGAAAGCTACTATTTAATGCCAAGTTAAAGCTGAGCTACCTTGGGACTTGTCAAGAACAGTCTCTCAAGGTCTGATAGATGAGACCAGAAGAGATGGCAGCCAACTCTCCAACTGCAGGACTCCACTCAGCTATGATTAACACTACATTTACTAATAAAACTCATCTTTTTCTGGGTAGACAAAACTCTCACTGTGAGTAAACAAAAAAGATGACTCATCTGTACTTTACTTTCCATAACTAGAAGTCTCATGTTATCTCCATATGTGTTTAGACCACAGACTAGTTAGTCAGCAGTGTGGCAGTTGACATTAAAAGGATTAGTAAATTAAGCTCAAATAATTGTCTTTAAAACTTTGACTGTTAAATGTTTATATTTGAGAGGATCAAAAGGAAATCTACTTTGTAGTGTGCACTGTGGTCAGGAAGGGGCAGAGAGGGATTTAAATGGCTTAACTGCAAAACTGTTATCACCTTGATAAGTCCCAGTGTAAAAATTCAGCAATAAAAGCAAGAAATGCACTTGGAATTTGCTTCCAAAACCGATTGTCTGACTGGAGACAAGTCAAGCTCTTTATTTGCTTGAAAGAACTTGGTCAGAAGAAACAGAGAACACTACTGAAATGTAGTCAAGAATATAAAAATAAGCTTCTTCCAGTGACTTCTGAACTGCAGCATTCATTATCTTTTTTTTTTTTTTAAGCTACTTGAAGCCTACAGTCAGCATCTGGTATCTGAGTGTTACCACTAGTCAACCAAGAGTGTGATTTTCCCCTGAATTATTCCATTGTATGGCAATGGAAATCCAGTAAAGCTGAAGCACCAAGGAGGTTGCAGGCTACAGTGCAGGATTACGTCCAAAGTAACATCTGGAGTCTGGGTACACATACAAATGGATGCAGTTTATCAGCTTATCCACTCAAATTGCTAATGTCCATGCCAATAACACAGGTAAACTAAGAGGGAGAGGAGCTTGCTATATATATATGCAGTGCTTGTACCAGTGCACTGTCTTGAGGAATCGGGCTCATGAGGCTGTTTCACCTCAGCAGTATGCAGGAAAGCAATGAATCTACCAACTGAGACAGGATGTTCTAGCATAAGCAAGGGTGGGAGTGGAACACACTATATCATCTTAATAATGTATTTATTGTTCTGCAATAAAGAAAGGTATAAAAAAGCAAAGTGAAGTTCTAAACAAATTACTTTTCTTTTGTCTTTAAATCTTTTCTAGTAAAGACATTTCTGAAATCGGATGCTTTGAAGCGTAGCAAATCCACTAGTTCTGGGTAGTCCAGCAATGTCAGAGTGTCTACCACTCAACAGACAGTGGAGTTCCTGAAAGCTGGTGAGAGCATTGCTAAGTTGCAGGGATGGCTAACATGAAGTAGCTGGACAGCACAGAGTTGTCAGGCTGCAAGGAGGGACTGCATTTGCCACCTGCTAACCTGGTCAAGAGCCGTCATAAACTCCACATGACACGTTCTTCAAAACAGAGAAAAATCTTGAGACTAGACAGGAAAATGCAGGACAGTCTCTACCTGTGCTTGAGTTTCAAAATAACCATGTCCAAGATCATTTGATCTGCCAAGCATTCAGAAAATCTCTGCTACAAAACTACCACTAAAATACGTAATACATTCCAGACAAAAACATAAAGCTTTCCGATTAGGAGCCAAAAACCAAATTTTCAGTTTTCAATAGTTCTTTTGAGAAAAAGTCTATTTGCCTCACAAAATATTTCTCCAAATAACTGATCTTCTGGGTTTGTAGGTACTTTCAAAAGCAGTTTCCTTCCATGCTAGCACAGGTAACGTGTAATACGGTACATGTAATAAAAGTCGGTGCCTTTTCCAAGTGTGATGAAAGCAAAATAAAGTAACAGAACCTTGCACCAACCCAAGAAGGAGTGTCAGACTGCGCTTTTTGTCATTACCTTAAATCTCTTCTTTTGGCCAGCTCTCCTGGTGAGATAACCCAGGGCAGGCTCTGGGGAAGACATTCCAGGGCTTCAGGGGAAAAATCAGAGAAATCCACACCGTACTCTGTCAGGATCCCTTCCGTTTCCGGCTCAATCTCCCCAGCCTGGCCAAGACTTTTGGCCAACCTCCTGCAGAAAGGAAAAAAGGAATGCTTTTTTTAAGTGTATAATTACTACTGTCATGTTGTTACTGTCCCCACAGAGGGGCTGCTGAGCCCTCAAACATACTCTTTCACCCATTCACTTCTCCCTGAGTTTTGGCACAGGACTTAACAGGAATTCAGACCATACCAAGACTTATGTCTGCTGGAGATGCAAAACACTAGCCAGACAGTATTCTGGGCTGTTTTGTGTATCTGATTTTAAGGAGATGTTTTATATTATTAGGTTTTTGCAGAGGTAAGAAAGTGTCAAATTTTAGAAAAAAAATGCATCCAACAGGGATAAGAAAAGCACAGCCCTCCACACAAACGGCTCTAGCTTTACATATGGCTGGTTCCCTCGAGATCCTCCTTCCTCTCCTCACTACTGAAAAACATGACTCACTCCCCACTACCTGAAATGGAGTAGTAGTGGGATCTCCCACCAGATCCCAGGCAGCTCTGCAGAAACAGCTCGTGGGGAGCTCAGCACGCTGCTCTCCATCCCAAAGGATACAGCACTCTACCTGGGCAAACTGATGCCCTATGAAGACATCAGGTTCCTCACAGCTGTGAGGAACCTTTACTGCCTTCTTTACAGGAGTTGCACACACAGACATGCCCACAGATCATATTTCCAACCATTTTTCAGGCTCTTTCCAGGACCTAAACATTCCCAGTAGTTTGTCCCTCCTCTCCTAGTTAAGCAGAAGCCTCTGAACCAGAAGCCAACTGGAGAGGAGCCAACAATCTAGAAGCAAGTCACAGACAGGGGAAACTGTCCTCCACATGCTAATAGTCTTTGATGAAGTATTCTGCACATGTGTGGATGAGGCTGCTGCTCTATTATGCTTAGAGAAAGTTTCCATCTGTTCCAGTGCAAACCCCAGCATGCATTTGTCTCAGCACGTTGGTGTCAAACAAGTGTTCAGTTTTGGACACAGCACGCAAATCAGGACTCCAAAGGAGTGGGACATTTGTTCCTGCCCTACCTGGTTACCACATGAGAGCGTACGTCCCATGGTGGCTCCCCTTGACCCTTTTCTCACCCCCAGATTGCTCTACAGTACACAAAGGTAAATTATTTTTTACTTTTTTAATATACTGCCATTAGGGCAAATGGGACATTACAGCCAATAGAGATAACACTCCTGACCCAAGAAAATTACAGCTGAAATTAAGGCAAATCCATCAAAATATGACACAAAAGAGAGGGGTAATAACACAGTGCAAAACCAGCCACTCTAATAAGTGTTTTTCCACTGCATAAAATACACAATCATTATATTGATCCTTCTGCTTTAATTCCAATGAGTGAGAACAGGCGCTAATTACTTTCCTAAATTGGGGCCAAAACAGTGCACTTGTCATTTGGACGAGCAAGATGCTCTCAGGGCTTCAAACGTGCCATAAACCCCCAGAACAAACCCCATCCGCACGGCACAAGCAAGCCCATCTTCTTTATGGGAGCAAAGCTATCTCTCCTCGCAACAGGAAGGGCTGCGTAATAAACCTGTCACATTGTAATATGTTGGAAAGGATTGCGCGCTTCGTGGCGTGGTAAATTGTAGAGTTCACATTGCCTAGCTTTAAAACAAAAATGAAAACAAGGATAAAAGATATTTCCCTCCATTGTTTCAATTTTATGTACAAACTGTATGGCAGAAATATGTGTGCGTTTGGCATTGCGGCTGAGTTCTCTGTTCCTGCAGCTTGGTCCCAGCCTGATCCTTATTTTAATGTAAATAAATGAGGCATCAGTTTTATCTCCCTCTCTCTAAGCAGTAACAATAAACCAGAGAAATCACCACTTCATTTCCAACGTCTAGTGCAGAGCTGGGAGATGGAGCAAGGACAAGCCTGTGGGTCCACAGGCCCACCAGCACCACCAAGAATGGACTGAGGGGAGGGGAAAAAAAAAAAAAAAAAAAAAAGAGGAAAAGAGGGGACATGTTGCCCTACCAAAAAGAAATGGCAAGGGCTTGAGTCTCAGATGCCCCTTCTCTTGGAAGGGCAGAGCTAAGAAGTGCACCAGAAGGGCGGCTGGACATCTGCACAAGTCATGGAAAGCACCTCTGAATGCCGGAGTGCTTTCCAGCTCAGTCTTGGAACCCATGTTCTCTTGATCCGTTTACTGAAATTAGATTACGAACCGTAAGGGGTTTACCCAGAGGTTTGATATAGGACTAATATTTTTTTAATAGTAATTAACATTTGATTTACAGCGTTCCAGGGAACATTTCCCAAGTACCTTGAAATAAAAAGTGTACAACTGACTTTAATTGGGGCCATGTTACAGTCACACAGACGTGATGACTTGCATCAGAGCAAAATCTGACAGGACAGCATGTGATCAAAGGTAACGCATATAGGATCACCGATGGCCCTGGAGCAACAGCCAGGCTGTGAAATCACTCATGGGGCTCCGCGGCCACCAAGGGTAGCAAAAGTCATTCAAGAGGCTTATAAACAACAACAGGCACAGGGCCCAGCAGCGGTCAGACGTTCACTCCCAGGGAGTCATGGTGTCTGTGACACCCCAGGCTTGCGTGTATCTCTTTTTTTTAAAATGTTAAAAGGTAAAAAAAGAATTATAATGATTACAGACGTAAATGTTTCTTTTCTGTGACGTTGATGGGGAAGCATTAGAGCATGCTGGAGGGTTCCTTGAATACCCTTGGACTGATGTCAGAGACAGTGACAGCATGCACCGACGGGAACGTGCCGTGGTCGGGGAGTTGGGCAGCATGCGGCACAGGATATTCCTCCAAAACAGCCATAGCTGCAAGATGACCAAACTGCTCCGAGCTGCAGACTCGCTGGAGCTTGACCTCCCACGCATGTGCGCCTGGGGCAGAGCCACATTCATGCTGCCATCTCCCCCTTCACGGTGACACTGATCACATCTATTTGGCCACCCATTTCTACAAACATTCAAGCCCTCTCCACTCTCCAGACTCAGCTGAAACTGGCCAACGTTTTCAAAGGTTATATGATAAGAACTCTCCAAAAAGACAAAGGATAATTACATAAGGCTTGTTTCCTTTGGAAAGCTGGGCAGGCTCCCAAATAGGAGTGAATAACTTCCATGGGAACTTCACAACCTTACTCAGTTTCTCCTGGAGCGGACTTGTCCACAGTCATCCTACATGGAGGGTTTCTTTCAGCAGCAGAACATCCTACACATCAATAAGCCACCACTCCTAGAGGAAGTTTGTCCAGCAGCAGGAGAGGGGACAGCTAGGAAGGCCACTGGGGCCTCACAGGCAGAGCTGCACAGGCTTGATAAAGCCTGAAGGTTGCAGTGAAGATGGTGAGATGTCTGCAGGGCTGAGCATCATGGAGAGAGCTGTGTCACGGGAACCCCCAGCACCTGGGAGTACAGTTCAGCCCTACTCCGACCATGGAGCTGCCTCCCTTCAGCTGCCGGGCCACCTGCCATCGAAGCGCAAGAGTAGCATGGTGCTCCCCACAAAGGTGGGGCCATCCCACACCTCAGAGCAGTACGGTGATTAGCTGTGCCAAGGGAGCTCAGCTTTCCTGAGTGAAAGTCCCATCTGCAAGAAGGTGTTTTTCCAAAAGAGCTACGCTGCTTGGGGATCAGACCTTCCCTCAAGCCTTACTGTGAGCTACCCAAGGTATCTAGTCATTTCCCCTCACACCAAATACATCTGTGAATTAAAAAAACAGAATAAAATGTCAGAGATTAAAAGAATTGAAGCTACTTGGATGGCTTTGGAAAGAGCGTCAAGTGAAAGAACGTACTGCAACGTTTCATTGTATTGCAAATGCCATGACAAATCTTGTCACCTTGACAGATCAGTATCTAAGGCCCTGAGCTAGAAAAACCACAAGCTCCACATGACACAGAGGGAGTCAGTGATTTGATATTTTACAACTACTATTTACTTTTTCAATAGTCCTATCCACCATCATATGTGGGGGCAAAATGAAAAGACTCCACATTAATCATCTCCAAAAGTGTGGAGGTGTCTGGACTAATTCTCCATCCAACCTTGGACTCCAACATTGAGAAACTGTCCCCAGAAAATAACCATACATGGCAGTACTTGTAATATTTATCTGGAAAAGGAGACTATTTTGGAACTATTTTGCTTTTCTACTACCTGAAGCAGGTACAGCTAAACAGCATTTCACTGCCACGGTAAAATCACTTCACATACAGGAGGGAGCACAGCAGCACACACTCAGGGCATCTCCAGCGGGACATGGAGCCATTAGTTCCTCTCTGCTCATTCCTAGCACAGTCAGGGTGACAGGGTGGCCTTCAGAGGGGACAGTGTCTCACTCGTGACCACCAGGTGGCAATCACGACACAGGAACGCACCCCCCTCCCCAAGGGGACCTCCAGGGACTGTCAAGTTGCCCCTGTGCAGGTGACCACTCTGGGTGGCCAGTGCCACGGCCAAACTCTCAGCCTGGGCATCCTACTGCTCCAGCTACACACAGTCACTGTGAAGACCAGAACATGCTGTGAATTGTGCTTGGAAACCCAGCACTGAACTTCCCAAGGTAAAAGGAAAGCTGAAGAAGGCGCAGGACCAGCCTGGGGGAGTTCAGCTGCAGGGTGGGGAGTACCCGGAAACACCCACGGTATCCAGGGGAATTGACTGCCAACTATGGAGGGAGTTTCCCTTGACATACTTCCAGCAGACTTAGACAGTACAGAGTGATGACCTACAGGTTCTTTAGTGCATACACCTTCAAAACCATGGTGGTCCTGCCAAAGGGGTATTGTGAAGTCTGTGGGCAGAACTAAGAGGTGCACAAGAAAGTTCAAAAAAACAAGCATGCAATGAGCTGCAGATCACCTGCTCTCCTCTCCTTCAGGTGCGCCATGACTAGCAACACAGCTTATAAACAGGCTCATAGACCAGCCCAAAAGCAAACAGGAACTTCTGGGACCTTCAAGAGGTTTCCTTGTCTTTCAATGTTTAAACAAGCATGTATTTATAGTTAAAAACAAAATGGGTCACCAAGGTTTTATGCTCCCATCTCCACAAGGCACTTACTGAAGTACAACCAAGTCCCAGAGGAAACGGCTATGTACGAGGACAATCATGGACGTTTTCTTTCCTGACAATACCCTTTACATCTTGGAAACTACCAAAACAGCCAGATGAGAATACACAATGTTGTCAAAAGTACAGACTAAAGACACACACGTTAGCCAATTAAAAAAGACATTATCCCATCCTCCTAATTTCCCCCGTTTCTGCTGAAAAAAGGGGTTGTTCATAACAAGAAGCCAAGCAGTACAATCACCCTCCAGCCTTTTCTCCGTTGGAGTCAAAGACGGCAAAGAAAATCTCTGCCAATAAGAAGCTTAGTCATAGTCATAGTTCACAGCACAGCCAGCCCCTAGTTAAGTGGGGCTCAAAGGGAGGCCACTTCAGTTCACGCACTGCCATTTAGCTAGGAAATACTGAGTGACTGCTATTACTAGGCACACAAAGCAGCCACAACTGATAATGAACTTAAACTCAGGGAAACAGGGACTTCAGTTTAGTTTACTTTTAGTTCTAGGGCTGATAGATCTGTGCCAACATACTTACTCTTAAAAAACCCCAAAGTTTTATGTAAGTTTTAAGCTTTACCAGGAGTTTGAGCTGAGGACTCCAAAAACCACAATGCTGACACTGTACATAAGCTGTGCTACCCCATCAGAACAGCTCTGCAAGGGGAAGAGACAAGTTGGGCTTTTTGTCCAACTCCCACTACCACACATGCTCCAGATTATATATAGATCCCCATCGCCTGTAAAATTTTACCACAGCATTGCCATAGGTCAGTTACCTACTCTGGATCACCAACTAAACCAGGACTACTCAGTTTCTCCCAAGATAACTGAATACATTTATCAATGTCCACCATTTCTCATTAAGACCCACTCAATATGAAGCAGCATGGCCACTCCAGGTGGGTGCTTGGCACACTGCAGCTATTCCCAAGACAGACTGAAAATGATGAAAACTACAGGGTCTTCCTCTGGATCCAGCCCAACATAGACCATTTAAGTAGCCCTGGCTTAAAATCTCCTCCTTCATGGCAGCGCCTGCAATTTGAACTCTGGACAGCAATAGCATTACTGAAAAGCACAGAGTGCAACACCCTTCTCATCTGCTTCAGGAACTAATATTCCCTTGTTTTCTAGTATCCTTCCTTGAAGCAATACAAATTTAAAACCACAAAAATCTGTGACTTCTTTCTACTTCTTATCAGTAAAGGCTTAAAAAACACAGATGAGCCTGATGATCTTCCTCTGGCAGAAGTGAAATGCCTACACACTGTGTACTACCCTTACGGAAAGGGAGGAAAGACCGAAAGGCTGCCAGCAACCCACAGTGCTTGTGCTGGTCAGGCTAAGTACCTGTACGTGTTCCCTCTAGGCTGCAAGCTCTTCCAGACTGTACATTCATTAATGCTGTGATGTGCCAGCATGCTGAAGCAAGCACCAAAAGCAACTAACATCATGTAGCCATGAGATTAATTAGCGATGAGCTATCCTTAACCTCATCACAGTTTATCCACCAAATACCAGAGGGATACAAGACAAGTATCTTGTTAACAGATTCCTGTCTCTATTGCTTGTATCAAATTAAGTGAAACCAAGAACTCTGACTAGAAATCTCAGTCATCTCTACTTCCAACAGCAGCCACATACCCTGTTGCAAAGTTGCTGTCTTCTTTCCAGTCCACTATGCGACAGATGAAAAGCATATTTGAATAGTCCTCAGGCCTGGTCACAAAGTCTGGAGGGCAATCAGCCAAGGACACGTAGGCCCTGGGCACTCTGTGGTCCACAGGTGAGAACATGGCACACCTCTTGAAGAGTTCACTGTTCTTGTCTGCCAGGAGCTTGATGAAGCCTGTAGCTGCTCGGGAATGTTTTTTTTCCAAAATATAGACCACCTGGAAGAGGCAAAAGTTTCTACAATTAATATCTTCAGAGAAACTTACTTTCTTTAACAGAATAGAGATACACAGAGGCTTAGCAGAATATCTGGAAAAATCACAAGGCCTATATCATGTTTTCCCTGTATGTGTAGATGTCTGTGTGCATTTTTTAACTGAGTACCTATTTACAACGTATTTTCCTTGCCATCTTGCTCATGGCTATAGAAGAGCTAAGTGCCTTCCAAGTGCTAGCTCTCTACAGCAATTTTCTTGATTACAGAACAAAACCAGACAAGAAGCAGATGCTTCCAAATGCAGGGAATTAGCCACAGCATACAAGCAACTCCTGTAAAATCTTTCATTTGTAACCTCGGCCTGTGATTTCGACATTCAGCGCAGAACAGGCCAGTCCAAAAACGGTGCCGCTGGCGGATGCAATGCTAACCACAGGAAAGGATGTGCTGTGGGGAATTTGGCAGTTCTCTCCTCCTCTCTGTGTTTTCTGAAGTTAGGGGTTATTTTACCTTTATACAAGATGGCTTTGAAAAGAATAATAAATTACAGTATCACTAAGTGATTGTTCCAGAGAGGTGTTCATCCAGGCTATATTTTTGTAGACCATAATAAATCACTGGATAACAGAAATATTATAGCTGATTTCCTAAGCTTATACAGAAGAGTCCTTCCAGAAGGTTTCAGGAGCTGTACCTCTGTGCGATTCCGAGTGCTGGAATTGCCACGCTGGATGAGACCAGAGGGCAGCCCAGCCCACAACAGGGACCAGAATCAGAGGCTGCAAGGAAAAGCACAAGACATGGAAGACTACTTGACCCCGTAGTCCTTTTCTGGTCTCTTTAACATGCAGAGATTGACTCAAGTCTTGAACCAACAGCACTAGCAGCCTTTCCAAAGTCTGTAAGAATTAATTCTGACAACTTTGGATATCCTGACACTCATATTAGTATCCAATCTTTTTTCTGAATCTTGCTAAGTAATTCTGCAGAACAAACAAAGGGAATTTAAACTAGGATAATTGGTAAAAATAACAAGACGCTCGATTTTTATCAGATTGGACACTTATTCTCTTTGAAATGAGGAATGAGATTCAAAGATCAACAGACGGAGACTACAGGAAGGCCAGGGCTGGTCTCCTTCAGCCTCTGGGAGTGCACACGTGTTCGCTTGTCACTCTTTACGGAGTTACCTTTGCTGTCCTTTGAAGAAGCTTATCTGAGAGGAGCCTGGGATCATTCACCTTGGGCCCATCATCTTGCTTTGTTCTGTGCACACCATCGACAGCCTTTGCTGCATCAAATAAGACACAAACAGCAGTTACTGTAGCACATTTCCATCACAAATTTGTGCTGGGCCTTTGCTGTAAACTGCAATACAAGGTGCATGCAGTAGACTTATTTGAAAGGGGAAAGATCTCTCAAGTGTTAGAACAACCAAGCATGAAGCAATTTTTATTTCTCCAGACTATCACAGAGAGCAGATATATGTTCACTTACCATGCAGATCTGCTGAAAAACAGCAAAAATTAAAAAAAAAAAAAAAATCCAAACTTTACAATTACAACTATACCAGCCGTAACAAAAAAAAGGTGGAAAACACATTCTGTTTATTAAATACTATGAACTACATTAATTTCTTGGCATTTCTTAGTTGGAGTCATTACCATTATATAAGTAGTCCGTTAAGTACATACATTCACTTAATACTTAATTTCCTTGAAAAATGTTATGCAAGGTTATAAAATGCATGTTTATCTTTGAAACTGAAACCATAGCTATTAAGTTGACCCTCTTCGGCTGCGGATCAGGATTATGAAAAAGTCTATAAAAGTAATCGCTATATATGACAAACAGTCCCCTCTTCCTGAAATCTCTTCACCAGACACGGAGAATATTTAAATGAACTCTCAACTAATTTCTAGTTTGCGATATTCAAATATTTGAGTATCTGAGTTTGGAAGTATCTGCTATAGGTGGATGGCACACCGAATGCATTTAGGGTTTACAAACATCCAAAGAGATCTTTGCCATGTATAAGGCTGGGACCAGTCCCTTCTTCAGCTACGTCCCTGCTGAGAGCTCGTGGTTCCTGGTCTGACAGTGTTTTTCAGATGGAAACATCCATGTGTTCTTCTCTGGAGGGCTGGAAGATGGCTGCCTTTTCCCACTTGTATGGCAATCGCATCCATCTCAAGCACATGTGCTAAAATCAGGCCCTGAGTGTTCAAAAGAAATTTTGCTATCTTAAAGAGAAACCGTGGCACTGACTGCAAGTTTCAAGGGACATAGCTGTCACCGTTTCCCTTAGAAGACATGAGATAAAGCAACGTTTCGCTGAAGACTGTGCTCCAGCAGGCCAACCGCGCTCACACACGCCAGAGCGTCCCAAGGAGAACAGCGGTGACGCACAGACCCTGGCCCCCAGATGACACCCATCTGTCCCGCAGGGACCCTCGACAGAGGCTGCTGGTGACATGACGGATGAAGGG